TAACTTTTATACTGTTACACACTGTTCCTGTGGAGATTTGAGGTATTTTGTAGACTTTCTATGATTTTGAAATATCTGTAAGATTGGAATTACTCAGTGTCAGATTTCTAAATCCAGAAAAATACTTTTTTGCAGTCTGATGCATTCGCCCAGCATAATGCTGTTGTTGTTAAGTGCCAGTGAGTTGATACCGACCCACAGCGACCCTGTATAGGGTTTCAAATGAGCAGCTGGTGAGCTTGAACCACTGACTTTGCAGTTCAAACAACTTTGCAGTCTGACGCATTAGCCCGCAGCGCCACACTAGGGCTCTAGCCCAGAATAATAGTGGGCCATAAAGGGAGCACAGTGGCTCCGAAGAGGAACACAAATGGAGCACTGGACTGGGAACCACAAGATCGGCAGTTCAAGACCATCAGCTGCTCTGTGGGAGGAAAGGTGAGATTTGCTGCTCCTGCAAAGGTTAGTTTTGGAAACCCTATACCGACAAGGTTAGTTTTTGGAAACCCTATACAGACAAGGTCACTGTGAGTCAGAACCAACTCAACAGCACTTAAAAATAACAACAATAAAAAGGTTTCTACAGAGTTTTAAGGAAGCAGCAATATACTTCCACCTAAAATTTACTTACTGTTTCTAAATGAAAAAAATTCTATGGGGATTGTTTTAAAAAGAAAAAAAAAAAAAAAAAGATTGGAAATGAATGAAATACATCCTCCTCTGGGAAGGTATATAGTTATCTTTTCCTAAATCACTTTATTATTTTTAACTTTTTATTGTGAACTGGGTGAAAGTTTACAGAGCAGATCCCTTTTCCATTCAGTAATTCATACACTTTATTTTCATTTCATTGACCGCAATTCCCACAAGGCAACATCACGTATCCCACTTCCTCTGTGTTTCCTGGTTCCTTTCCTCCTTCTTTCCTAACCCTTCTAAGCTTTGTCCTTGGGTAAATGCTGCTCTCTTTGGCCTCGAATAATTAAGTATTCTTAAGGTGAATGTACCTCCACAGTGTTACAGTTTTGCCTGGTGAGTTCAGTACCAGACTTGATGACTAAAGGCCCTCATCTCAGGGGTTCACTCTCTGTATCTGACCACTAAGCCTAATATTTTTTATGAATTTGAGTTTTGGTCCACATTTTTCTCCCACTCTATCCATGACCTTCTAATGTGATGCCTTTCAGAGCAGTTGGTAGGGGCTGTTGTTTTTGTTAAGTGCCATTGAGTAGGTTCTGACTTAGAGCAACCTGGTATAGGGCTTTGGAGGCTTTTTAAAATTTATGCAGGTGCAGAAGGCCTCATCTTTCTCACATGGGGCAGCTGGTGGTTTCAAAGCAAGGACCTTGTGGTTCTCAGTCCAGTGCTTGTTGTAAGGAGCCACTGCGCTTGGCAAAGGTAACCGGGCAATATGTATTTGATCTGGACTCAGGGTAGCGGAGACTGATGTTCACACGGCCCATTAGTCCACTGGACTAATTGTTTCCATGCGTCTTTGATTTTCTCCACTCTTCTTTCCTCTGAAAAGGGAGAAACCAATTGCATCTTATATGGCGGTGCATGAGCTTTCAATACCCTAGCTGCTACGCACCAAAGTAGGATGCAGAACATGGTCTTTGTGAACTGTGTTATATTAACTGACCTTGGAGTTCTCCCAAAATCATGATCCTGAGCCCCCAGACCCAGTGCCCAAGTCACTTGAAATATCATTATTCTCATTATGCTGAAGCAACACAAAATACCTGAGTTATATTCACAGGGCAGTTAATTTTCAGAATGATAAAAAAGGAAGTAGAGTATCTTATTACTCTATTAGAATAAAATAACTGCTGATTTATTAAAAATTCTCAGTATAAAACCTACATTAATTGGCACATATATCCAATTTCACGAGGAATATAGTTGGTATTTTTAAAATGCAACATGTAAGAAGTATCTTATGAAGCACCAAAAGAAGAAGAAATTGAAGTGTCCAGTAGCATGCTAGAAAGCAAGTATTTTACAGGTTACTTCATACTAAGTGACAAGGTAACTCTATCTGAAATGAAGTATCTGATGCTTAGCAGAAGCATTCTCGCCTTCTTGGCTTTGATTTCCTGCCAAAGCAAACATTTATGAAGCCACTGCCGTCTGTCAGCGGAGGCTTATCTGTAGTTATGAGGCTGGACAAGGCTTCAGCGGGGTTTCCAGACTGGGACAGACTAAGAAGAAAAAAATCTGGCATTTGCACTATATTTACAAAAACAAGCCACTGAAAACCCTATGGATCTATAGGCGACCATGGGGTGGCACAGGCAGCATTCTGATTTGTATGCAAGTGTCACCAGGAGTTGGGGGCTGGTTTGATAGCAGCTAGCAACAATCATTTAACAAGATATTGTTCATGATGAAAGAAGTAAAAACACAGGAAAAATAATTTTCTAGATTTACATCCATCTCTTTGGGCAAGTGACGTGGAGTGTAAGTTCTTTGCTAGCACTTCTGATGGAAGCATCCTGAGCTCCTAGCCGGAAGCAAACAATGTTTTTATGTGTAGTAAATTCTTACTAAACATGTGAGAAATGAATACAGTATGAAATGAGTTAACATAAAATGAACTCTCAGATTCTCTTTTCTCTTCCTTCCAATCTTTATAGTCTCCATGAAATACAAAACACAAGAACATGGATCAGGCCTATTTTTGTTTATTATAGTATTTCTTTGTCCTTCACTTCTCATGCATTGGAGAACACAGGAATATTCTATAGCACAAACTACTGGGACAGGATGTGCCAGTAGTCAGTAAGGTGTCCTTCTGTTAATGCCAAGGGCAACACAATAGATACGGTGGTTGTTAAGTGCCGTAGAGTAGGCGCTAGCTCATAGCAACCCTGTAAAAGGTGGTTTCTGAGGAACAATGGTGGATCGGTCTGGACTGCTAACCTTGTGGTAAGCTGTCCAGTGCTTACCCTACAGCGCCACATCAGGACCACAAACATACAAGTCAAATACTTGCTGATAAGTATGAACTGGGAGAGTGAACACTAGGTGTAGAAAATAGACTATAAATAAAATCTTTTATGATTTCAATCACAGATACAACAGAAGCTTGGCAAATTTTCTATGAATCAATGAAGATACTGACATGTTGCTATTACAGAGCGTGACTGACTACTGTTATGTGTTGTAGAGTTGGTTCCTATTCATAGTGACCCTGTACAGGGTTTCTGAAGCTGTAAATATTTACAGGAGCAGAAAGTCTCATCTTTCTCCCATGGAAAAACTGGTAGATTTGAACTGCTGACCTTGAGTTAACAGCCCAACTCCTAACATTACCAGGACTCCTTAGATTGGTTTATTTGTTGTTGTTAGGTGCTGTGGAGTCAATTCCGACTCACAGTGACACTGTATAGGGTTTCCAAGGCTGTAAGCATTTGTGGGTGCAGAAAACCATGCCTTCCTCCCATGGAGCAGATCGTAGCCTCAAACCTAGGACTTGTGGGTCACAGTCCAATGCTTGTTCTACTGAGCCACAGCACTCCCTGACTATGGAATGGGAATTTTTGTTGTTGCTGCTGTTTGTATGTAAAGAAATGATGTTACTGAAAAGAGCTAAGAAAAAAACAAATATGTCAATTCTCCAAATTTCTTAGATAACTACTACTTGACTATACTTAATCAGCAGGGCCAAAAAGCTCGTATACAGCCATAGGAATTGCTGTCATTTTCTACCACAATTCGTAACATGTAACAGGGAGTACATACAGTTTCTGATTAGATAAAGGAGTGAGATAACCTTTAAGACAGCCTTCTTTATCTAGCTAAAAAAAAAATCAAATAACTTCTGGCATGTAATCCTGAAGATCTTTAGAACGTAGAAAGGACAGAAATTTTTCTCTAACACCAGAATTCTTTATTCATAAAACAGTCTAAACTGAAATATTAATGTTAAAGACTGTATTTTAGGATAACTTTTTGCGGTATTTCATGGATGGCTACAAATTATTTCCTATTGAGAGGTGAGGCTAAATCTAATTTCCCTTCTCATGAATCTGGGATGGCCTTACTGACTTACATGATCAAAAAGGCAGTGTAAATACGTGCATGGTACTTCCAAGGCTAGGTCCTAGCTTTCTTGGAATGCTCTTTGTGTGAGACCTGAGGTGCCACATAAGAACTCTGATCAATCAGGGCCCAACTCTATTGGAGGGGGGTTTTGGGTAGATACTTCCAGTTCCAGTTCAGCTAGCATTTCATTCTGGCCTTTCCCAGCAAGGGTCAGACAATGAGTGAAGCAGCCCTGGGCCCTGTGAACATCATCAAGGGACCTCGTTTGATGTCTTGTGAAATAGAAGATGCACTCTAACAAGCCTATACATATGTAAGCTTTTAAAATTGGTAGTCATTTGTTTTGGGATAATTTGTTATAGTAACAAAAACCTCAAGTGACTTTTCTATTTTACTAACTTCTTAAAGTCCTGGTGTGGCACTGTGGGATAAAGCACTGGACCACAAGATCATGCTGAACCACAAGGTCGGTGGTTCACACTCATCAGCCATTCGCTGAAACCCTATATGACATTGCTATGAGTCGGAACTGACTCTACAACACAACAACAACTTAAATTTTATTAGTCATAGTGGATTGTTTCCTTTGAAGGTTGCTTTTGTCAACAGAAGTTTATCAGTTTCAACCTCTCTATTCCTCTCTCCTCAAAGAACTGTTAGGTTAAAATCTGAATTCTCATTGCACTAATTATTAGGGGAGGGTGAGATGAAAATGTAGAAAGCCAATACAAACAAGACTAGTCATATGCAATTTAAAAACCAGTATGGAAAAAGCAAATCAAAGAATAATATGCAACAAGCTACTTTCAGATGGCTCAAAAACCAGGTGGAGAGCATGTCCCAAAGGTTCAACAGACACTTTTGGAATTCTGAAAAGTGAGTTTTGTGTGAAAAGACGTATAATTACATTATGAATATTTAGTATTTTTAGTCAGGATGAAAATCTTGTTTACCTGCAAATCAATATTGTTGTTACAACGCTCATTCTTCTCTGACAAAATCTTCCTGTAGTTTTCTGATTTTATAAGATTTTCAACTTTGGTTTTATCTCTTACTTCTGTCTCCAAATCCTTCATTGTTTCAGAATCATCTTTTATAGTAACAGTATCAGACATCCTCATTAGTAAAGGTTATTATAGAATTCTACAGGGAACGTAAAGCCTTAACAAGAAAAAGGAAAAACAAATTAATCCACTTTGAAACATTTCTTCCATTTAGTCTCTGCATTATATTGACAATATTGGCTGAGTATCAATAGATAGATAGGTAGATAGATATTCATATATAAACACATATATACATATCTAGAATCCTGGTGTGATGTTACAAAATAAGCACTGGACTGTTAACTGCAAGGTCAGTGGTTAAAATCCACCAGCCATTCCTTGGAAACTCTATACAAGGTCAATATAAAGTGGAACTGACTCGACGGCACATAACAACTTATTGCTATATATGTGTGTATTTATGTATATACATATATCTATACACATATCTATAACTATATATACATAAACACACACACACACACATATAGATCTATAGATTGTTGTTAATGCCTTTGAGTCAGTTATGACTCATAGTGACCCTGTAAATCTATGGATGAGAAAGTCTCATCTTTCTCCCATGAAGCAGCTGGTGGAATTGAACTGCTGACTTTGTAGTTTGTAGTCTAGTCTTGTTTTTTATAATTTAGTAGTTGTTGTTGTTTTTAAGTGCCATTGTATCAGTTCTGACTCACTGCAACCCTGTATAGGGTTTCCTAGGAGTGGCTGGTGAGTTTGAACTGCCAGCCCTATGGTTCAAACCAATCTTGCGGTCCAGTGTTTACCCTACAGTGCCACACCAGAACTCAATGACCCAATAAAATCAATCCCAAAAGCATTAAAAAAAAAAAAAAAAGGCATAATAAGGGTGTGAGGTGATTTTGATGTGCATATTACTTGTGAAATTTCATAAGAAACATTAAGAAATGAACCAGATTAAGATGAGATGAAATGGTTGGAGAGCTGTACATGTATACTTAGATAACCTAAGAATTCTTTTACTCTAAAAAGATTTGTTTTATTGAAAGGGATATTATGAGTATAATTCTGTGAGGAAAAATTTTTCAGTCATAGCTTTTATCATGATTCACACAATTCCAAATTTCTTAAATTACCCTGCAATTCTGAAAAGGTATAATTTAAAAAATAAGGTGCACTGTTCTAAACAAAGCACACTTGTGAATCTGGGTTAACATTCTGCTCACAGATATGGGTAAAGTACTGAAAATTCTTCTGATTTGATAACCAACAATATGTATTATCACTGATCTAGGATATGGAATCTACAGGAGATCAAACATATAAATTGTTAATATATTTCATATATTAGTGAGTTTAAGCAAACTACTAGGAACTTTATATGCTGTTGCTGTTGTTAAGTGTTGCCAAGTTTATTCTGACTCATAGCCACCCTGTATAGATTTTCTGAGGCTGTAAGTATTTGTCGGAGCAGAAAGTCTCATCTCTCTCCAGTAGAGTGGCTGGTTGGCTTGCATTGTTGACTTTGTGTTTCACAGTCCAGTGTTTATCCTACACATCCAACATGTTCCAGAAACTATATTCTGTTGCAAATAGGAATGTATCTGAGATTAATTCTAAAGATAGTTGTTAGTTTAGGAGAAATGTGTCGAAAGTAGAACTTAATTTCAACAACTTATTTTGAGATTCATTAAAAAAATTGATTGATGGACAGGTAGAGGATGGATACACAGACAGACAGTGGATAAAACAAGTGTGATAAAATGTTAATGGTAGAATCTAGGAGTGAATATATGAGTGAACAACAAAACTCAAGCTTTCTCTAACTAAAAATTTTCATAAAATCTTGAGGTATAAAACTCATTAATTCTTATCCTGAAAAAAACATTTTAAAATTAAATATCTAGGTAGATTTCAAGAATCCATGAATGAATACAAAAAGTAAAATAAAATAAGACAAGTTAAAAGTCACAAAGAAATAGATTCTAAAGCCAGAGGCAGTTTAAACTGCTAATTGTTTAAACATGACTTCATTAATTATATTCCGTACCAAGTTAACTGGTTCATTTTGAAAACAACAGAGTTACAGAGTTTGGGAAGGGAGTTATTTAAGATACTCTGGTTCCTTGCTTTTTAAATGTAAGCTTTTGGGGATAAAACAAAAAACAATGTATTTGTCTGAAGTGACAGGAGAATATTACCTGATGTGTTTTATGGATTTGGGGATGTGGTGTCCCACAAAAATAAAATAAAATAATCCAAGGTTCCTTTCCACAGTTGTCAACCAGGATGTCAATTGTATTGAACCATCTGCAATTTGGCAGGAGGAGTCCCATGTCCTTGTCACCTCTGTAGATTTCTGGACTAAAATGGACTGTTTGGGATCAAATATATCATCCCTTTCAGTGGCCTAAAAAACAACAACAAAAAAACAAAATTAGAAATTAAAAATACAACTATCAGTAGTCATTGTTTTTTTGTCTTAAATACTTGCTTGCAATCATCCAGGTGTCTATTACTTATATGAGCCTGAATAAGTCAACTGAAGCCTACAAATCTTATCAATAAAAGAGGAGTGAGGGGAGAGAGGGCATTAATATGTAATCAGAACCTAGAATATATTCAGCATTATAAGGGAGTCATTCTCTTCATTTTATAGATAAGGACAAATTAGGTTTGCCAAGATCAGGAACTGGTGACTCTCTGATTTCTAAAGTTTTCTTCCAAAGCTACAACTGCACAGATTTCAGAGAAGACTGCAAGGTGCCCAGGTGGTGCAACTTGGTTATGCTTGACTATGACAGCAATACGGAGTACTGGTGTGGCACTGTAGGATAAGAATTGGACTGTTAATTGCAAGGCCAGCAGTTCAAATCCACCAGCCGTCCCTAGGAAACTCTACACAGGGTCACTATGACTCAGAACCGACTTGATACTTAACAACAAAAACAAGTATACCAGTGGTGGGCAGGTCAAACCCACCTAGTAGTACAGTGAAAGAACAGCCTGGAGATATGCTTGTGTAAAGATTACTGTCAAGAAAAGGATATGGAGAAGTTCTACTCTGATGAACACAGAGTCATCATGAGTCTGATTCAACTAAATGGCAAAGGTGTTTTGTTTTTTTTTCTTAATTCTGATCAATAATCATACTCTAGGTGTTTTGTTTATAAAAAAAAAAAATTTTGCAAGTCATATAACATTTTCACATTGTCTATTACAAGTAAATATCTGTAAACAGTTACTGTCGGTAGATGTCAATGAGTCCGTACTGACTCATAGCGACCTTATGCACAGCACAAGTGCTGGGTCCTGCACTAACCTCACAATCCTTCCTGTTGGAGCCCACTGCGGCTGTCACTGTGCTAACCCATGTCCCTGACGGTCTTCCTCTTTTTCACTGACCCTCCACTTTATCAAACATGATATCCTTCTCCAGTGACTGGTCCCTCCTGACAATATGTCTGAAGTACAGGAGTCCTGGTGTGGTGCTGTGGGTTAATGCGCCAGACTGCAAAGCTGTTGGAACTGCAAGGTCGGTGGTCCAAGCTTACCAACTGCTCCTCGGAAACCCTATACAGAGTCGCTATGGGTAGCAATCGACTCAACGGGACTTAACAACAACGAGAGATGAAGTTTGGCCATCCTGGCCTCCAAGGAGCACTCTGGCTGCAGTTAGCACTCACTAAGTGCCCAAATTCTTTGGTATCAAAAATGTACTCTTTGTAAAGGGAATTGATGATTAATTATTAATTTAAAATGTGAAATTCAGAAGAAAGCACAGTCATAATCAATTTAAGAAACGAATAAGGCACTGGCTAAGGCAGTGCTGCAAAGGCAATGGGAAAGGGCACAATCTAATGAAATTAATCTGAAGGTGTAAACCCACGGGACCGTAGAGACAACCTTGTAGCAAGCCGGATATTAGCTTGTCCAAAGTCATTCAACCAATTTGTAGCAATCACAATATTTGCTAATACATCATACCACTTGACAACAGACTAAATGAATGATACTGGATTTAAATGACAGGTTATATTGCCTGGAAGAAAGCAAATGGTATGTGAGAACAACTACACGGGCATTAGTCGAGAGTTGAAATTCTCAGCTCTGTCAGTTTTGTCATTGGTCAGTTACTGAGTTTCTTTTGGCCACAATTTTCTGACCTGTAAAATGGCAAAAAGAATATTTACCTCACGGGTTTGTTGTTAGAACTAATTTAAATGTAAAACACCCAGGACAGTTTCTCTCTCAACATAGACACTTTTATGTCCAAGTTTTAAGCCCAGCATGACAAAAGATGACCCACCCTGGTGTGCAGTGGCTTAGTCTCGAGTCTTTTTACATATATGCTCTATAGAGTTTCAACAGGAGAATGAACACTACAGTTATGTGTGTGTCTGAGTTGAGGGACACTGCTTGCCTGAGGACACAGACTCAAAAAGATTTCATTTTGAGGTCCAGGGTAAGTACTGGCCTTCTTGCACTCACCAGTAATTCCATGGAAACCTCGTAGACATCTATTGCCTACACAGGAGTACCTACTGTTGTTTTGTGCTGTCAAACTGAATTCAATTCAAAGTGGCCCAATATGACAGAATCCAATAGGACCCTATAGAATAGAACTGCCCCACAGGATTTCCCAGGTTGGCATGGCACTGTAGGATAGGCACTTGACTACTAACCACAAAGTCAACAGTTCAAACCCACCAGCTGCTCTTTGGAAAACCTATACAGGGTCACTATGAGTCAGAGCTGAGTCAACAACAACAACAAAAATCTTTATAGGTGGGTTTGAACTGCTGACCTTTCAGTTAACAAGCTAATACTTAACTAATATACCACCAGAGCTCCTAAACCCTATTGTTATTGATACAAAATTCAGTGTATCATAGTCTGTTTTAAAGTTTAAAGCGATGGCTAGAACTGTTTGAAAATCATGTTCAACTTTGAAAAAATACCCTTCCAATCAGGAAAATAAGAAGTCCTGGTGTAGGACTGTGGGATGAGTACTGGACATCAAAACTAGTTTGAATAGCAAAGTCGGTGGTTCAAATACACCTGCTGCTCCTTGGAAACCTTATATAGAGTTGCTATGAGTCAGACCAGACTCAACCGCACTTAACAACTCAGAGGTTACATTATATACAATTTCTGCACTACCAAGTACTCAGAACAAGAAAATGTCATATGTATACATGTAAAATTAAAGCTTTTGGAAAGATATACACAAAAAGGCTGGAACCTACTAAGCACCCAAACCAAATGACAATTACAAGCAAAATAAAAGATCATAATCTAGAATGTACTATTACAAAAGTACTAGGAAATATTTTCATAACTATTGGGCAATAAAGTCTTTGCTAATAAGCATAAACAAAGGCCTAGGGCCTTCAAAAAAATTAGCAAAATTTACAAAGGTTTAAAAAATTCTGTATGACAAAATGGACCACAAAAAGGTTAAAAGACAAATAATATAAAAACCAGTATTTCCAATACAAAAGGATTGAAATCCCAACAGTACAAGAAGCGCTTACATCCAGATCAACAGAGGGGAGGAAAAAAAAAGAAAAAGGTAGAGAAATAGGGAAATAATGGAAACAGGCAATGTACAACAGAAATACAGATAACTACCACTAACAATTAATAAACATTACATAGAGTACAATTTACCATGTGCCAGACACTGTTCTAAAACATTTCCTATACTTGTATGTCTAAAAAAGATGGGGTAATTTGCATCAATAGGCATGTTTACTTTATGATTACTGACAACACAAGATAAGACTCATTATGTTGTTGTTGTTAAGTGCCATCAAGTGGGTTCCAACTTATAGTGATCCTGTATAGTGTCTCCGAGGAGCAATTGGTGGGTGTGAACTGCCAACCTTGTGTTTAACAGGCCAGTGCTGATCCACAGCTCGATACCTGGAAGGTGAATTATTATGAACATTTCAGGATCTTTATGTATTATAACTCAAAATGAAAAGAAACAGCTGTAAACATCCACTGAAAATCGGAACATGGAATGTATGAAGTATGAATCTGGGAAAACTGAAAGTTGTCAAAAATGAAATGGAACACATAAATATCAATATCTTAGGCATTATTGAGCTGAAATGGATTGGTATTGGTGATTTTGAATCTGAAGACCACATGGTTTACTATGCCAGAAATGACAAATTGAAGAGGAATGGTGTTGCATTCACTGTCAAAAAGAACATATCCAGATTAGTCATGAGGTACAATGCTGTCTGTGAAAGCATAATGCCCATGCGCCTATAGGGAAGACCAGTTAATACCACTATTATTCAAATTTATACACCAACCACTAAAGCCAAGGAGGATGAAATAGAAGAATTCTACCAATTTCTTCAATCCGAGAAAGGCAGAATTAGGATGAACATTTAGGCAGACACTAAAATATGTTATGAATTTTCTAATAAAAATTTCGTATCATTATTTTCAGTGTGGTGCTGTGGGTTAATGTGCTGGATTGGAAAAGTCAGTTTGAACCTCAAGGTCAGCAGTTCAAGCTTACCAGTCGCTCTTTGGAAACCCTATACAGAGTCACTCTGAGTCAGAACCAACTCGACAGCACTTAACAACAACAACAAAAACATCCATCTATAAGACCACCAAAGGGAGGTGGTGGCTCCATACAATAAGCACTGGACAGTGAAACACAAGATCATGGTTCGAGCCTGTCAGAGCTCCAGAGGAGACAGTTGAGGCTTTATGCTCCCGCCAAGATTTACAGCCTTGGAAACCCTATACAGGGTTGCTATGAGTCAGGACCGACTTGACAGCTTTTAACAACAATAACAGGATAGATACTAAAAGGTCAACACTTATTCTTAAAATGAAAAGGTAAGGGTTGAAGGAAACTGCTGTTAAGTACTGTTGAGTCGGTTCCCACTCACAGCAACTCTGTATAAGGAGCGGCTGGTGAGTTTGATTTCCTGAACTTGTGGTTAGCAGTCTAGTGCTTATCCTGCAGTGCCACACCAGGATACTAGAGCAATGGAAACAAGCAGAATACAAAGAAAGAATGTGACTCATTGTAGATGATGTAACTGAGCAATCTATATAGAAGTTGTCAAATGGGAATTTAATTTGCTGTGTAAACTTTCACTGGAAACACATAAAACATTGAAAAAAAAATACTTCTGATACTAATAATTCAACAAACCATGTGATTATCACATCTTGGCACCATATCACACAAAAAATTATCTTACAGGCAAAAATAAAATATGGAATATAGAAAAAAACATTCACATAAATATTGAGGAAAACAAAGTTACTGAACTTATCTGAACAGAATTTGGCAAAGCATACTGGATTTTCCTCCTTTGTTGTTGGTAAGTACCATGGAGTCGGTTCCAACTCATAGTGACCCGGCACAGG